ATATTTGATTCAAGCAAAGAATTCTCTTTTTTACGATTTTTTCATAGGATCTGTTTATTACTAGAACTCCATTTTCCATATTCTGTATTGTCATTTGTCTTATAATCTGTCAGTTTCTGAATATTTATAAGGGAATGTGATTCCGAATATAATCTAGTTAATAAAAATTCGGGTCAAATAATATGTCTGCTACTTTTCTTTTAAAATCACCAGGTGATTAAAAAACAAAAAAAAAAAATGAATCTGATAGCGTTTTTTTTTTCTTTTGAATTGAAGTCAAACATTTTATCTCTTTAACAGATAGGCTAGATTTATACGTATAAACACGTTTGTACATTCATTTATTTTTTTAAGACATTTTTATGTTTATACATTCTTTTTATAGATACAAATATTTAAGTAAATGCTCTGTTTATAATAAACAGTATTAACAACATTTACCGGCTAGAAATGTCCAAGAAATTGTCATAGGAAATATGCGTCCTCCGACTATATGACGGTTCCGTATAGGATACAGGTTCGATTCGTGTTGGAGGACGCATATTTTCTATGACAATTTCTCGGACATTCAGGCTGGTAAATGTTATTAATACTGTTTATTATAAACAGAGCATTTACTTAAATATTTGTATCTATAAAAGATATGTATAAACATAAAAAATGTCTTAAAATAATTGTCGGACTTTGTCCATTACATTCATTTTTTATTTTTTTTTATTTTTTTTAATATCTGATATTTTCACCTGGCCTCTGATTAACTCTCCGCAGAAAATAGCATGCAACAGAAGAATTACAGCAAACATTAAAAAAAAAGAAACAAAATGTGGTCTCTGTACTAATTCAACGAGATTGCTAAGCTTAAGAAATTGTCTTTCGGAAAATGCACTCCCTACATCTGATTTTTGTTAAGTTTTTTAGTAGTAGTAGTAGTAGTATAGTATGGAGGCACGTAATAATGAATACAGGCGCGGATTGAGGAATCAGAGATCCATGTTCGAATCTCAGCCGAGTTCGTTACACTCACTCACGTGCAAATACCCTTGGGAAAGGTATGAATAGATCTCTCTCTCTCTCTCTCTCTCTCTTCCCTCCCTCCTCCGTGGTTAAATAGCAGGTAAGGGTCTTATAGCCTTGAGTGGCAACCGGTCTAGGAGAAGGACAAGTCTCGCAAAATCTCCAACTATGGGTAAATAGTAGGTCAGACTGGTTTCTTCGGCCTTGGCTGGCATCCACACTAGGCGAAGGACAACTGTCAATTTAAACAAAACAAAAAAAAAACATATCTAGCCCTGGCGAAGCACGTTTAAATGATCCTAACTGTGCACTATTATTTTTAGTAGTATTAGTAGTAGTATTATTAGTATTATTATTAGTAGTAGTAGTATTCGTAGTAACAATAATAATTTTCTATTCGTAACGTACAAGAATGTGTCTCGTGTCCGAATATTTGATATTTTTTCCTCTATTTATTAGCTAGATATTGAAAAACTGGGAATTATTCGTTTAAAAAAATATTTTGAAAACTTGGCGATGTTTGCGGTATAATTATGTAATTGACAAGGTGACTTAGAACGGAAATTGTTCACGTGGCTGAATATATGCCTTCTCTTTCATTTCGGTAAAAAGAAATGGATAAAAAAAAGGGGAGGGGGCAAGTTAAGTAATAAAAAAAATCTTTTTATGGAATTTATATTGAAAGGATTGCTACTCCTCATCCTCACATGTGTTTAGAATCTTAAATAAAAAATGTTGTTCCTATTTTTGTTGAATTGTTACTGATTATATAAGAAGGGTTGCATCAATATTTTCTTTTCTTGTAACAAGGAAAGGAATTTAAATTTCTCATTTATCGCCATGGGCGTTTGTTCTTAGCAGATTCTTTGAGAAAATTTTACTTTTACATGTAAAGGTTGATCTTAATTTTTTTTTATCTTGAAAATCCTCTATACTGTATGAAATTAAAAATAATTTCCCTTTCTTTTCTCTTCAGTTCTCTCACTACTTTGCCGACTTTGTCTCCGTCTGTCTCCTTTGCCGACTTTGTCTCCGTCTGTCTCCTTTGCCGACTTTGTCTCCGTCTGTCTCCTTTGCCGACTTTGTCTCCGTCTGTCTCCTTTGCCGACTTTGTCTCCGTCTGTCTCCTTTGCCGACTTTGTCTCCGTCTGTCTCCTTTGCCGACTTTGTCTCCTTTGCCGACTTTGTCTCCTTTGCCGACTTTGTCTCCTTTGCCGACTTTGTCTCCGTCTGTCTCCTTTGCCGACTTTGTCTCCGTCTGTCTCCTTTGCCGACTTTGTCTCCGTCTGTCTCCTTTGCCGACTTTGTCTCCGTCTGTCTCCTTTGCCGACTTTGTCTCCGTCTGTCTCCTTTGCCGACTTTGTCCGGATCTGCCTACGTGTATGTCTCTCTCTCTCTCACCCCTTTCTGGCTCTTTGTCTCCATCTCTCAATCTCTCTCCTCCTTCCTGGCTCTCGATCTGTCACCCTCTCCTTTCTAACACCCACTCTCTCTCCATTTCTCTTCCTTTTCTAACTCTGTCTTTGCGATATTCCGTTCTCCCTCTCTGTCTCCCCCCACAACCTCTCCACATTGTCTATCTTATTTTGACAATATAACTGCAAACTTATTTATACTCTCACCTTAAGCTCCCACCGTACCGAATTCCATGTCCCTCTGGTAGGAGTAAGTTTACTAATGGCATTTTAACCATGAACAAACCAGTTTTGTTATCAGCAAAATGTTCAGACTGAAATTGTTAGTGATGGATAAACCTTTATGGATATTTATAACTCCTTATCTAGTCTGACACAAGGTCAGCAAAGCAGAGCAACCATTCTTTCAAAATAATTGACCGGATACCTCTGTGTAATATGATCGTCGTAAAGATTATTAAAATACAAGAGACTTAAATATCACATATGTAAAGTTGGTTGTTTACTTTCGGACTTTGTCTGCTAATCTGGACTGAGCTGGGCTTTCCTCAAAACTTTCTCGCTAGGATGCGAGCGACTCTGTGTTTTCCTTCTCGTCGGGGCTCATATGTCGTCTTGTCATCTGCTTGTCCCACATGTACACATGCCACGCGCAGCTGGGCTGGCCACCCGTTTATATATCGGCCGGCAGCCACGGACCGATCTTGTACTAACAACGAAGTTAAGCAACGTCGAGTCTGGTCAGTACCTAAGTGGGTGAGCACTTGGGAATAACAGGTGATGTAGGCTTGGATGCGTGAGTGGTGGATAACTGTTCGGAAATGCAGTAGTTTTTGATTAAATTTTTTTAATCCTTTCTAGCACGTTCGACATTTTGGTTAAAAATTTTGTTTTTCTTGCGTCAGCGGTGGACCAAAAATGTCTCTCTTTTTGCGGTAAAAAAAACACATTTGTTTTCGAAATTCTTGCAAAAATCAAATAATTGTCGGATTTTGATGAAATTTTCAGAACTTATTCACAAATGAATGAGTTTATTTTGTAAATATATTTTTTTTAACAGAAAATCGATTTAAACTTTAAATTAGTTTCTGAAATACAGCGAAGTATTTTGCTGATTGGAAAGATTAAATTTACTTTATTAGCTTGAAATTAAAACTAAAAAGCTTTAAGAAAGATTTTTCATTTTTACAATATAATTTTAAACCTTGGGTATCTTTTTGTTTTCTTCTGTTTTTTTTTTTTTTTTTTTTATGGAAGTACCTCCATTAAAGCCACTAAGACGCAAATGGTTATTGACAGTAAGAGAAAACTAAAAAAAGAAAAGTTGAGACGAATGGACAATAAACGAACAGCATTCAAGGAGACAAAAGTTGGCGATTGACGTAATTTAAATGTTTGTTGTTGACTCTCCACAGCTTCCTTTTCTTCATTCTTGGTGAATTGCCACACCTTTCTCTTCGGTTTTGAATTTAGATCTCCTTCTCTTCGACTTGTTGCCACTTAAAACTTAGAGAGCGCAGTTTAATCTATTTAACCGATAGATTGGGGGGATAAGAAGATTTATGCCTTTCCCAAATATATTCAAGTGAATATATATATATCGTTTATTTTCTGACTTTCTAAACAGATTTTCTTCTTTTGCGCCAAATTGAAAATACCCTTCATTGGACCGGCTTTAGAACTCAGAATACTGCAGCTGCTACTGCGTCACGATCGCCCAAGGACGGGGGGGGTACTTCTTTACTGTTCACCCACTCATACACATACAGACACACCGTGACCAATAAAGGCCAGAATTGAACTGAATGGTCTGGGCTACCTACAGTTTTATAAATTGGTTTGGGTTAAGATTTGTTGTTCATTTGATAGCGAATTTGTCTGTGTGATGTCTGCCATTTTACTTTTAGTTGTGGATGTGTCAATATTTGTACAAAAATTCCGGTTATGCTGTAAAGACTGGAGTCAGTTAGACAATAGAGACTTTTATGTGAAAGAATAGATAGACAGACAAGGAGACGCCGGGCTTTTCTTTGTTGTGGTCTGTCGGCTTTAATACACTACCCCCCTCCGCACCTCACATACAACAAGAATGTGTGTATGACTAGATACGATTTATTTTAATATACACTTCCATCTCTCTCGCTCACATAAACGTCTCGGTGCGTGTGCGATACACACAATCACACCCACACACACGCATATATATATATATATATATATATATATATATATATATATATATATATATATGTGGGTGTGTGCACGCGCACAAGTTATTACCCATGGAGGGAAAAAAGGAATTTTTTTTTTATGAGATGATTTTTTTTTTTTTATTTTTATTTTTACTGATCACATCTCTCAGAGAGATGAAATTTAAATTTTTAATATTGCATTATTCCAGAATTTTAACATATCAGCAGATAGCTATTAATGTCAATAATTGAGCACAAATAGTTATTAATTAAAAAAAAAAGTAATTAATATTATCCATAACTACAGGTACAAGAATGTCGTTTTCGATAAAAGTTTTTTTTAAAAAAAATATAACTATAGATACGTAAAAAATGTGTATATTGTCGAAAATTCCTTTTTCCACAATATCGCTATTTGTGCTGTTAGAATGTTTATTGCTTTAACAATAATAATACTGAATTTTTTTTTTTTCTTTTAACGTTAAAGTATATTTAATCACCTCCCTAATAACTGTCACGATCTGTAACGACATGAAATTGGATATACTAAAATTAAACAAGTGTAAATGTTTAAATATCTAGAAAGGGTTTTGAGAGAGGATGAAAAATCCGTCAGTAAAATTTGAATAGCGAAAGATGCCTTCGAAAAGATAAGCAAAGTATTGAGAGACGGGACAATTTCATTGGAAACGAAGAAAAGAATACTGGACTCTTACGTAATATCGGTTCTCATATATGGTAGTGAATGCTGGGCCATCTCCTCACATATGGAGAAGTGGCTTGAGGCAAAAGAAATGTCGTTCTACAGAAGGATGCTGAGAATACCATGACCCAAAGAACTCGTGACAAACTTTTAGAGAAAATTGGAACAAAAATGACGTTCATGTGTAGCATCAGAAGAAGTAGAAATTACTCCGGCACATAATGAGAAAAGTAGGCTTGGAAAATTTGACACTCAGAGGGCACATTGACAGCAAGAAGGATGCAAGGAAACCACTTGACTAACGAGTTTGTGTAAATGGTTGGCAGAACAGGTATTAGGAGAGATAGCGAAATGACCACATTTACTAAGAGGTACAAAGGACAGGAAATTGTGGAGAGCCATGATCGCTCAGATCCTGGAGGGATACGACACATCAAAGAAGAAGAATGAGCTTGTGTAAATGGTTGGCAGAACAGGGATTAGGAGAGATAGCAAAAAAGAAAGACTACGATAAGCATGAAGTCGTGGAGAGCCGTGAAAGCCTATGTCCTGAAGGGAAATGACACCTAGAAGAAGAAATGACAGATTTTGCTTTTAAAACAAACTTCAGTATTTTGCAAGTGCTTAGTTTTAATCCAAAGTTTTATTAACAGGAAACAATGTATGGTTTCCCATCAGGACACAGGACGTTGTGGAGAGCCATAATCACCTATCATTTATAGGTCTAAGCAGTCTTTTTAACTATCTTTTCTGCTCACTGTTCTGCCAAACATTCATACAAGCTTGTTCTGAAAGTTACAACTGATTTTTTTCTATCACTTTTGCCTTCTATGTCCTGTGAGTATCAAATTCACCAAGCCCTCTTTCCTCTTGTGTCAAAGAAATTTTAATCTTTCTAAGTGTTCCTTTTATTTCCCTTTTTCTTAAAACTTTTGTGTTGCCCTCATGTTCTGTCCAGGATATTCTACTTCTCTGGAACAAATCTCTGTCGGTTCGTCTCTTGTTCATCTGTGAGGAGATTGTCAAGCATTCACTGCCAGATAGGAGGATTGATATTGCATAGCATTTCAGCGCCCGTTTCTTCGTTTTTAACAATAATTTTCTTATGTAGCTTCTGTAATGAATTGTGGTTTTTGTGATTTTGGATTACTGTCGCATTCCCGTCGTCTGCCAAAACGGCAATATTTTAAAATTTGCATTGTTTACATTATTTGGACTGTTATCCTCATCTTCATATTCACAACGTTTCAGCTGTTGTATGCTCCGGCCTTCTTCAGGTGATTGGAATTTCAAACCAAACCTCTTATTTCATCCAACGGGGGTAGATTGTTCTAGTTCCATGTGCCATGCCTCTTCTGGATGTCTCAGTTATCTCCCTTTAACTCAACTCTCCAAGTTTTTGATATTAACCAACTAGAACAATCTACCATGAATAAAGGGTTTAGTTTGAAATTTCAATCACCTGAAGAAGGCTAGTGTGCCAACAGTGCACTATTTACATTATTCGGACTATTGTCCGAATCTTTGTCACCATGTTTATTACAACCGTTTTGGCCGTTGTACACCCTGAACTGAACCATTTATTTCGTTCACTGGGGTAGACTGTTCTAGTTCCATGTGCCATGTTTAATGGATGTCTGTTATTCGTTATTCTGTTAATTCCCCTCTGCAAGTTCTCCATTGCCTTAACTGTCTTGAACTCACACTCTTTGGGTCCTGTCACTCGATCTTACCAACGCCTTTATCAACTGTGCCATGTGTCCTTGAGGACATCTGTGTATGAATTTCTGGGTATTATAAACTTAATGTCTTCAGCCACCATTTTTTACCAGTGCTCATATTGCAATTTTTCACTGTTATCATTGCATGTTTTTACCAGAGCTGATATTGCAAACGTTGTAATAAATATGGCGAAAAAATGAGGATAATAGTCCGAATAATGTAAATAGTGTACATAATACCTCATCTCAGAAATATAGACAGATACTGGAGGATAAAAGTCCGAATAATGTAAATAATGCAAGTAATCATAATACCTCATCTCAGAGATAAAGACAGCTTTTCAAAATTTATATAGAAAAATCTTTTCGTATGACTGTTTTGGGAAAATATTTTGGAGGGACCCAAAAGTAATGGGAATAAAAAAACAATATTAAAATATAAAAACTACTCTCTGTGCCTATTAAGTTGAGGGGGTGGTGTCTAATAACTAGGAGGTAGATCTTTCTTGTGAATTCTTAATTGGGAGAGCACTCAAATATGGTGGTACCACTAACATCTGATGATGAAGGGAAAAAAAAAAATGAAGTTTATTTGTCCACTCCTGGGCTTATTAGGCATGGGGGGACTAAAAGCTAAACTTACCCAAATATTTAAGCATGGATCATTTGGGGTATTGGTATGTCATAGGGGTCAGAGTTCACATAAATGTTTATTTTTATTTTATTTTCCACCAGCATGACAATAATAAACACATATCATAAAGATTGATAGATTTTTATTTTTAATCTGACATTTTTTGATTACTATAAACTTATATTTTAATGGATACACAGTGTTTGAGCAAGACAACCTGTTTTTTTTTTTTTCTTTGTGTTTTGTTTTTTAACAGTGTCAATTACGTTTGCCAGTTTGTGCATCTCTCCTTAAGATTCTTGAATCCCAAAAAATACACATACGTATGAGTGGGGAATGTAATTTGCATGCATTTTATGAAAATATTCTCTCTTGACCTAAGGGGTATCCAATGTCTATCTCCCCACCCCCGTCTCTTTTTTCTTTCTTTCTCCCCACTCTCTGGCTTTCTCTGTCTCTCTCCCTTGCTCTTTGACCTACTCCCCCTTGCTCTCTCCCTCTTTCTGCCTCCTTCTGGCTTTCTTCCTCCCGCCCTCTCTCTCTCTCTCTATTTCTGGCTTTCTTCCTCCCGCCCTCTCTCTCTCTCTCTCTATTTCTGGCTCCCTCTTTCTCTCTCTCCGCTTTCTTCCTCCCGCCTCTCTCTCTCTCTCTATTTCTGGCTTTCTTCTCCCTCTCTCTCTCTCTCTCTCTATTTCTGGCTTTCTTCCTCCGCCCTCTCTCTCTCTCTCTCTCTCTATTTCTGGCTTTCTCTCCCGCCCCCTTCTCTCTCTCTTTCTTTCACCTCTCTCTCTCTCTCTCTCTCTATTTCTGGCTTTCTTCCTCCCGCCCTCTCTCTCTCTCTCTATTTCTGGCTTTCTTCCTCCCGCCCTCTCTCTCTCTCTCTCTCTATTTCTGGCTTTCTTCCTCCCGCCCTCTCTCTCTCTCTCTATTTCTGGCTTTTTCCTCCGCCCTTCTCTCTCTCTCTATTTCCCTCCTCTCTCTCTCTCTCTCTATTTCTGGCTTTCTTTCTCTCCTCTCTATTTCTGGCTTTCTTCCTCTCTCTCTCTCTCTCTCTATTTCTGGCTTTCTTCCTCCTCTCCTATTTCTAGCTTTCTCTCTCTCTCTCTCTCTGGCTTTCTTCCTCCTCTCTCTCTCTCTCTATTTCTGGCTTTCTTCCTCCTCTCTCTCTATTTCTCTTTCTTCTCTCTCTCTCTCTCTCTATCTCTCTCTCTCTCTCTCTCTCTCTCTCTCTATCTCAGCTATGGAAGTCTCTAATGACTCTCTTTTTCTTTCTTCTTACAGAGTCTACAAATGGATTACAACAGACTTATTGGTGCAGCATTGCCTACTGGGAATTGAAGGACCGTGTTGGGCGATTGTTCCGTGTATTCCAACCCAGCATTAATGTGTTCCAATTGCTACCTCATGGGGACGGCATGTGTTTGGCCATCTTACAGAACGAGACAACTCTTAAGTCGGTGCGCAAGACACGAGAGAAGCTCGGTCTGGGTATCACACTTAGCAAAGAAGGCAATGGAGTGTGGGCGTACAACCGATCAACGCACCCAATTTTTGTTAATTCCCCCACCCTTGAGGTGCCCAACTCGCGGACTTTAGTCGTTCGGAAAGTTCTCCCCGGACATTCTATGAAGGTTTTTGATTATAAATGTTCGGAACAGTATGAAGCAATGCGCGATCCACAATTGATGGACGGGCCTTATGACCCCAGTTCCATCCGAATAAGTTTTGCAAAGGGCTGGGGTCCCTACTACTCCAGACAATTTATAACATCTTGTCCCTGCTGGATTGAAGTTTTGCTTAATGTGAATAGATGAGTGGATCTTTGTGCATTCAGTCCCCTCTCCCTTCACAAAAAACAAATTTTTTTTTTTTTTTTTTTCTTATTGTCATAAATGTATATAGAAACTTTCCCAAACACTTTGTTTCCACACACACACACACTTTAATCTGTGACAGTGGTGGAAAGGGAAGTGTACAAAATACAAATTTTTTTTTTTTTTTTTTTTTGCCAAGCACAAGAGTAAATGTTGCAAACACTCACACACACACACACACACACACCTAAACATGCACAGGACAAAAAAAAATGTTTATATTAAAAAAAAAAAAAAAATATATTTACAGAAAGTCATGGGGGCTCAGGATGGAACTTCACATTGGAGTAAAAAAAAAATAAATCTTACATGGCCTGCTCAAAAGTTTGGGGAACTCAAGGTGCAAAATGGCTTAAAGTTTATTTCCTTGTGGGGTGATTTTGAGAAATCTGCTAAATGCCTGGTGAGACAGGGGAGACTTATGTTCAAAAGTTCCACAAACTTTTGGGTAGAACCTTGTTTATGTATGAATTTTTGTTTGTGTGTGTCTCTGTGTGTGTGTGTGTGTGTGTATATATATATATATATATATATATATATATATATTTGTATGTGTGTTTGCTTTGTGTCAAAATTAGTTTTTGTGGAGAGATTTTTCAAAAAAGTATTGTTTTTTTTTGGGTTTTTTTTTTTTTGTTTTTAATTTTTATTTTTTATTTTTATTTATTCATTTTTTTTTTTATTTTTTTTTTCACTGATTTTCATGCATTTTTTTAAAATTTACATTTCTCTGACAGCCCCAGGTTTTTTTTTTTTTTTTTTTTTTTTTCAGATTAATTTAAAAAAAAAAAAAATGGTTTTGAGAAAAGAAGAAATAGAAATACATATAAAAATTTACAATCCCCAGTTTATAAAAAAAGTTACGTCAATTTGGTATTTAATGCAAATCAAAAAATATGACTTTTTTTATTCAGTACACACACACACACACACTACAGTTCAAAAGTTTGAGTCAACCCCTGATAATTTTTTAAATTGGCCCAAAAGGTTGCTGTTTTGTACTTAAAGGATAAACCGCTACTTTGGGGGCCAGATTAAAAAAAATTATTGTACACGGTTAAAAAAAAAAAAATTGAGATTTTATTTTTTATTAGAAATTTTATTATGGCAAAAACATAAAAGCATTTTATGATTAAATTTTGCTCACGTCAAAATATCCTCCTTTAGCCTTGATTACTGCAGCACAAATTTTTGGCATTTGTTGAAAAAGTTTCTCAAAATATAAGTTTGATATTTGATTCCATTCTTTTTTCAATGACTCTAAGAGCACTTTTTCATCATTTTTTTTTTTTCTTTTCCTCTTTCCTCTTCTGTCAAGTTCATCCCTTGCTAATTTTGGGAGTGGCTTCAAACCTTTTGAACTGTAGTGTGGGTATAATTTCTAAAGAATTAGTGGATTTTATTTTTTTAACCGACATATTTTTATCATTTCCAGCATTATTTTTAGTGGATACCTGTATTTGAGTAACCAGAATAATAAAATGGAGTGTCTACACAAATATGCGTATCCACGAAAAATAACATTTGTAATAAATACATACATATAAATAAATTGCACTTGGCTTATTTCCATAAAAAAACTCCATTTCCTTCAATTCTCATGTAACCAGTTTTTTTCTTTTTTCTTTTTTAAATTATTTATTCATCTTTAATTTAAAACATTAAAAAACCGTGAAAATTGTATAATTTTACATCTTCTTTTAAAAAATTCTTAATTCCGAATATTATTTTTTTATCTATTGACTTTTATTTTGATACATTGTCGCTCCATCAAACTGATTTACTCTGACTAGCAATCTCATCTTATCTGTCAGAGTACTAACGTTTCGGTTGTCACTTCTTCTGGCCTTCTTCAGGTGTCTGTCATTGTTGGCAATCTTGTATTTTGAGCTGAACACTTTATTCAATCCGGTGGGAAACAGACTGTTCTCATTCCCATGTTTATACTAGAGGCAGTATTGTATCTATACAATTCTTCTTAGTTAATTTGTCCCATGATTTCGGGTCATCTTATCAAACAAACCAGAGTATGTGTGGCATTTTACTTTCCCGGACCAAGGATTTGAACTCGTTATGCTAGGTTACCTAATAGCAAGTGTAAAGCTCTTTCTTTTTTTTCTTTTTTTCTTTTTTTTTCCTTAAAGCAAATTTTCTAATTCCTCCACTACCACCCACTTACACTTCTAATTATTAAAGGCACATCCTTTTCGCTTAAAGGTACATAGCATTGAGACCACAAAAAAAGCTTTCTCTCTCAAAGTATTGAATATAGAGGTCCTATTTTCAAATTCCTCTAAGGTTACCAACAACAAAGAGCACCTAAAGAAGGCTTTGATGGTATGACAACTGAAACATTGAGACTGTTACAAGGTGAGAGTGCCACTCCAAGTAAGTCTGTGTATAGTAATGACAATTCATCTAAAAAAAGAAAAAAAAAATTTTTTTTTTTTTTTTTTTCTCTTCTAACAAATTCTGAAGCTTTTTAAAACTGCTGTTAAATAAGGTCCCCCAAAGCTGTCAGCTTTTAGCAATAAATAAATAAATAAATAAACAAACAAACAAAAAACAAAGATGGACCCTCTACAGGGCATTAAACATTAAAACATTTTTTCCTATTTTCTCTAAAGTTATCAGTAATTAAATGGGTGATTGCTTAGAAATGTCAGATAATATAAACATCCTTTGGCCTTGTGTCAGACGTTGTTATCATCAGTCTCATGACCGAGTGCAGTCATAGGGTGTAGGGTCACTGTGCAACAAGCACCAGACCAGTTCATGCCACATATCCAATTTTAGAGCTGGTGCGGTATTCATTTATATGTAGCATGTCTTGGACATTTAATCCTGTTGGAGGCCATCCTTCTTTTGGTGAAACGACAGCCAACATCCAACTCAAGTGGTCTTAGAAGCCCTCTTCTCGGTAATGCTGTCTCATCATTGCACTAGCTTTATCCATAGCTATGGACCCCAGTTTACCTCATTGTGCTACAAGAAGATTTTTTTTTTTTTTTATCTTCCTCTGTGTCTAGCCACCCACTTCAAAGAAGACTGGTGAAGGAACCAGTTTAGATGCTGATGACTCAATCATATGTCAATTAGCACTCATTTACATTGTATAAGTGACCCTATATAAGTCAAATGTTGGAAAATTAATCTATAAAATAGTCATATGTACTATGCTGAAATCTCTGCTGCTTGTTATATGAAGGAGGTTAAGCAATATTATACCTTACCACTACTTAGATGGGTGACCTCTTAGGGTGTGGTTTACTTGAATTCAGTTGTGCTGATGTAAGTAAATAACATATTCTATTTGTAGAAACATTTTTAAGAAAATAATTTAGTTTGATAAATACCCCATTTTTTTTTTTCTTCAGTTTTTGTAACTTTTTTCTTTTATTTTATTTTTGTGTTTTTTTTTTTTTTTTTTTTTGTAAGTTTTTCCTTCACAAAAATCAAAAATTTTGGCACCGTCCAGTCAGGATTTTTTTTTTTTTTTTTTTTTTTTTTTTAAGTACCATTTTGACATTTTTTGACAGTACCATTTTGTGATCCCTTTTTCTTTCTGCTGGAGGTGTATGGATACTGGGTAAGCTGTCTCTCACATGACAACAGATTTCAGCCAATCAGAAGTGCCTTCCTTCCTACTGGAGAGAGAGAGAGAGAGAGAGAAAGAGAGTGGAAAGAGAATGAAAAGAGAGACAGACACAGATAGAGAATAATTTAATCGGCTTTTGAATGTAAATTAAAAAAGGAAAAAAAAAAGGAATCCACATAAAAACTAAAATGAACCCTACTCTTAATAAAGAGATTACATTCACACAAACTACAAAAAAAAAAAACAAGAAATTATACAAACAAAAGATGGTAACATCCATTGTAAAATAAAACTACAGGGGAAAAAAAAGTAAATACAAGCCAATGAGTTTACTATTGCTTAATGAGTCTTACATGATTTGGAACAAATTATTTTAAGGAACCCCTCCCTCCTTCCCCAACACACTGCAAACACTTAATTTAAAAAAAAAAAATTCCCCCCTTTTGTAACCTCTTTGCCCTGCCAAACAATTAATTTAAAATTCTTTTTCTTTTTTTATTCTTTTTTACTCTCCCACCCCCCTCCAAACAACTTTAATATATTCTTTTTACTCTATTTTACTATGATTGTTGCGTATGCATGGGATGTGCATGTATTTTCTTATTATTTAACCAACATACATACAGACATACATACATGTGTGTACACACACACATTTTTTATGTTTATACATTCTTTTTATAGATACAAATATTTAGGTAAATGCTCTGTTTATAATAAACAGTATTAACGACATTTACCAGCCTGAATGTCCGGAAAATTTTCATAGAAAATATGCATCC